CAGGAAGAGTAAGACAGCATAGGTCAGAGGGCAAGTTCTACTAATTAACACTGTGAACTCACAAAGGATGCTGCTATAAACCAATGGATGCCTTGGGAATGTGGAACTTGGTCCCTAGGAATACTGAAACAAATCTAAGGGAACATTTGGCTAGGGTGTTGGAAAACCAACATAAATATTATTTATTCACCTCCATGGCTAGGCAGTGGAGCATCTGCCACACATTGGCTCTATGCTGTTGGAAGGGTGTGCGGGAGTAAATGAGCCAGGGTGACTGATCTGCAGAGTGATCAAAGAAAATGAAATTATAGCTGAGCTCTGAAGGTGAGGCATGGGAGGTAGGACACGGGTCCCAGTTCTGAAGCTCTGACTGTGGAGTCAGCAAGAGGACTGATCTGGCCGATTTACCAAGCTCTTGGATTCCACAGACTAGGAAGTTCAAGTTTAGGCAGCTAAAAGTAGTGAGAATTTTTTTTTCATACTGAAGAACCTTTAGACCCTTTCTCTTTGTCCCGACTTATTATTTTGTCCTGCCATGGAGGGCCCTTTTGCTTTTTGTCACAATAGATTGTCCTTGTGTACCAACGTGTTGGCTGGGCACAGGGCCGCTTTTTTCCTATACTATCTATGGGGCCAGTATCCTCGAGGAAAGGGATTTTTTTCCCTGGGTCACTGTAATATCCTTGCATTCACCACATTGTTTGGTACCTGCAGCTGTGAAGTCCTCAGGCCATACTGCTGAGCAAATGTATGCCTAACCTCCCCAGGGCTTGTGGAGGCTGGAGATGCAGCCAGGCAGTGATCCTGCCTGCACCCACCCTGTCACCCCCTTTCCAACTTCCACATGAGCAAACCAGTCTGGCCTGACATTGAATATATTCTCCCAACAATTCTAGCCAGAACCAGAACTGAGGATTTTATTTCACGTTTTAAATTTTTTTTCTTAATCAGTTAAGGTACAAGGTTGGGCAGCATCCAGCTTCCTGAGCTGTAACTGAGTCTTAATTATACTGCTCAGAACAGGCAAGGCTGTGGATGCCCAGCCTCATTCCACTAAGGAGAACAGTCTGCAGCCATGAACTTCTGCTTGCCAGGCACCATGCTGAGTGCCTTGCAAACACTGGTTTCTCTGAGTTTCACTGAAGCTTGGGTCTCTCATCTTCCTACAAATGCAAGGTCTCATTGGATTGGCATCTTACCTTATGGCCCCATTTGTCCTTAATTAATTCCTTCCAACAGTTCTTCTTCTGAACAGCATAGACTAAGTTTTCACCCACTTTATTACTAATTATGTGGAAAATGTTATCCCCATTTTATAGATGACAAAGCTGAGTCTCGGAAAGGCTAAGGAATGTGCTCAGGTCACAGCTAAAGAGAAGGGCATGAGTCAGACAGCTGAACTCCTCAAAACCTTTCTGAATGGAAAACTTGTGCTCTTAAGTGCAAAAATGTTTTAAAAACAAAACTCGTAATAATGTCAACAAAGCACACAAATGGATGTTTTCAATTAGGTATTAAAAATGGGGCTGTGGGAATGGCCAAGTGGATAAAACACTAGCTGCACAAGCATGAAGACGGAGTTAAGATCCCCAGAAGCTACATAAAAAGCCGAGTGGCTGAACTGTGATCCCAGCATTCCAGAGGTAGAGTAGGGATGCCTTAGGCAAGCTGGCTAGCTAGACTAGCCAGATCAGGAACTCCAGGTTCAGCATGAACCTGGCCTATGACAGAGGGGGACATCTCTGTTCAAGCTCTGGCCTTCACATGTATGCACACACGACACACATGAGCCCTCACACACACTTGTGCCCACATGCACGTATATGCACACACATGCACACTACACATACATACACACTTGTAAATTAACTGTTTAAAGAAAGGAAAACATGGGTACTATAAGGCAGTCTATCATCTGTTGATGAGACAAGTTTTCATTTCTCTGTCATCCAATTTCCCCTTCATTTCCAAAAGACTGTGTCTTGTGTCTTCATCATCCTCTACCAGCATGTCAGAGCATTTGAAAAGATTTAGCTTGGGATCCTAAAGTATTTGATTTCCTTAGAAAAAAGTCCAGGAAAACCAAGGGAGCAAAGAAATCAGTCTATAGCCTCCACTTCAAAGGCCTTAAGCCAGAGTGTGCGAAAAAGCTAGGTAGGCATCCTCTGATATAGTTGAAGTGAAACCTAAACACCTGCTTCATCTGTGGGAGCTTGAGGAGCTGACACCAGCTCCTCTTAGAAGGTGTGTGTGTGTGTGTGTGTGTGTGTGTGTGTGTGTGTGTGTGTGAGAGAGAGAGAGAGAGAGAGAGAGAGAGAGAGAGAGAGAGAGAGAGTGTTAAAGTGTCCAAAAGACAGATTTTTTTAAAGTTTTATCTTGCCATCAAAGTATGTATTCAGATTTTTTTTTAGGTTTAAAAAGTGATTGTCATTGAGTTTTAAATACCTGACTTTCCCAGTGTTATTGAAAATGGATACCAAATGTGTAGGTACCTACCTATGTGGAAAGCTACAGACTATATGGGGACTGCTGTAGTATGAGGACCTCCCCACACAGGTCTTCATGAAGATTCTAGCTTGTAGCAGAGTTCATGAATATATGCCTTCTGAGTTGCTTCATTTACTGGTATCAAGGATTTTAAAACATTTTACTGATGCTGTTGCATTTGTTACACACGCATCTAATTACTCTTAAGGACACTTAAGAGACAGCAAGACCTGTGTAGGGGTCTCACTGCCGTAACTCATTACTTCATAATGATAGGCAACTTCCCTCACTTTGTCTGGTAACTGGGGTAATAGGAATCTTCCCTTTCCCAAAAGTATACGGGTGTGATCCTCACAGTGACACATCCTGGCTTTAAGTCTGGGCTTTCCCTCCATACACATGCTTTGAAATGATAGCCTTTGGATAAGTGGTTCATATTCTAGAGTCTCAGTTCCTTCAGCAATCACCCATCTACTCAGATATCATAAGGACTGGAGAAAGTTTATATTAAATATGATACTTTTTAAGCTCTTAACTAAATAAGGGCTTTGAACACATGTGAGATGCTTTATTTTTTTAATTAATTAGTGTGTGCGTGCATGCATGCTTTTGTGTGTGTGTATGTGTGTGTGTGTGTGTGTGTGTGTGTGTGTGTGTGTGTGTGTGTGTGTGTGTGTATACTTGGCATAGCACGTATGTAGAGGTCAGAAAACAAGACTATAGAGTTGGTTCTCTCCTTCCTTCCATCTTTACCTGGATTCTGGGCATTGAACACAGGTCGCCTGGCTTATACGGCAAGAATCTGTACCCACTGAACCGTCTCGTAGACTGTTATCACATGACTTGACCATCTCTTAGTACATCTTGTTTCTTCCTGACAGACTAAGCCACATTTCTCTCGTACAGTAGTCTTTATATATGAATATGTTTTCCTTTGTGTACTAGAGACTGGTAAACCTCTTCTAAAGTTGTAGGCAATCATGATGTTTGCAAACAGCTAAGAAGGAGATATTTCAAGTTTTCCTCCTCTGCTGCATTCCAGTCCATAGTCCCAGTCCAGTCTTGCATTCAGGACCCACCTCTGCAGGCCTCCCCGTGCAAGGGAACTGACATTAGGAGTTCGTTTTCAGAGAGATTAGCCTACATTCTTTATCACATGTGGCTTCATTAAATATTGTAAGTACTTACACAAAATTATTCAGTAATATAGTATCTCACAGTCATAGTTTGTACACATCAGGGAATTAAGAATACAAGTTGGGAATACAACATAGAAAACAATTATAGACAACCTCTTTAACATAGGCCACTGTACGAATTAAACAGACCCAAACTGTTGGCAAAGGAAAACCAAGGAAGGTATTTAAAAATGGAAATCACCTTTAAACTTGTCACGCTGGTGACTCCACGATCTTTTCAAGATTGTTTAGCAGATACTTCAAGGGTTTTTTTTTTATATAGACTATCTTTAAGTAAGTCACAATTGGAAACAATTAGGAAATCACTGTACTTCTACTTTATTTTTCTTAATAGTCATAAACCAAAGTCTGTTTCTCCCAAAAGAAAACAGTGAATTTCATTAACAGGCAAATGTATACATTTGTGAGAGGTTCTCTGAAATTTCCCTTAATACTATGATTTTAATTATAAATATAACCGTTTTAACAGTCACTGCATACCTTCTAGGTGCAGGCATTTTAACCTGAATGCAGAATGTAAAAGATGAACCTAGCGGTGGTCAGGAAAACATGGTCTATGGACCAAATCTGCCTAGCATCTCTTTTGCAAAGTGTTATTGAAACATGTGCTCACTCAGTATCAATGGTCACTTTTGTCCTCTATTGTCAGTGTTGAGTAGTTATGATAGAAATATTATGGCCTGCCAAGTCAAAAACATCTGCTATTTGTACTTAAGTTGCATCACTGGGTGTGGTAGCTCATGCCTTTAATTCCAGCACTCAGGAGGCAGAGGTTGGTAGATCTCTGTGAGTCTGAGGACAGCCTGGTCTACAGAGTGAGTTCTAGGACAGGCAGGGCTGTTACACAGAGATACCTTGTCTCAGAGAAACAAAGGTTGTTTCAGCCTCCACTTAACAGCAAATTTATGAAGAATTTTCATGTTGATGTTGAGAATCAACATAAAAAAATTAGGAATTAAAAAAGATTCCCGTGTATTTTGCTCCTATTTAGGCTTGGTGCAGATTGGTAGGCAGATCAAAGAGGGAATACGTTTTATACTTCTATAGGTAGTTTGCAAAAAAGGCATTGATGCTGTGCTAATGGGACCAAGGATGCTCCCCTTGGATATGACAAAAACTGCAGTGTAAGCCCAACCAAAGGGCCACTGCAGTGTAAAATATTTAAAATATTTATTCCTTTTGAGATCTGGGCATTTGAGTTGTCAATGTTGGAACCTTTCTGGCTTATCATCTATCTGTCACCATCACAACTTACTTGATACCGAGGGGTCATTGTGGTTATCATTTAGGGAAAACATAGGGTCTACATGTTACCTGTGTGCTGTTCTTCAATCCAGACTTGCAGATACATGAAGAGCAGAAGCCCTGCTGCCCCAAACAGCAGGACAGAAAGGAAGACTTGTTTGGGGTTCATGACCACTTCAGATGGCTGTGTTTCTCTTCATGTCCAAATGCCAAGGCTACATGGCTTATTTCTCCATGGAGTTTCAATCTTTTCTTGATATCTTGGGGCCCATTCCTCAAAGTAACCTAGAATTCCAAACAATTCACATTGTACATGTCTGGATTTGTATTCAAATATGGCAAAAAAAAGCATGCATATGAACAGCACTGAAGTTTCAAATATGTGGTAACTCACTGAAAGAGGAGCCCTGTAGTAAATACTCGTGGGAAGGACTTGGTGTCCTATCTGTGGAATACTGTATACTCTTATCCTACCCATACTAAAGCACAACATTACATTTAATCAAGTGAAAAGTTAAGCTGTTTCATGTTGTGAAGAGTCAAGTGAAGGTTTGAGTTACTTCAACATGATTGTAAGAAGAAGGGAAATAAAATGGGTTGCAAAAGAATGGAGAATGAGGTTAGGACAGTCTTGTAGGATTTGGGAAAGCCCTTCATATCTTTAGTATCAAGGACAGCAGGATGCTCAAACTACCTGGGGAAAAAGGATGTGGCATCCTCATGAAACCATGCACCTCCTCTGGTGTACTTCAATGAGTCTCTAAGCTATTTGCCCTTCCCCCAACACTGTGTAAATGTTATGTGAATGTCTGTAGCACTAAATTCTCAATGGAATTATGCATGGGAAAGGGTTTCAGGTTCAGTTCTGATGCTGTTATTTGTTTTTGAATATTTTCATATGTAGTTGGTTGGATCTGTGGATGAAGTATGCACATGTTCAGTATAGATACCTGCTTTGGCCAAATATTTTCAATCACACATTTTATGAATGCATAGATTAGGAGAACTGACGGTATATAAAATTCAAAACTGGAAAGTTTAATCTAGCATTTCCCATTTAGGTAAAATAACATTTATGAAATTTAAATGGAGAATTTGCAATCTTTGTGGGGCATAAAAAATACAAAAGTCTTGGGTCTAAAAATCCCCTCCCATAAGACATAATTACCAAAATCTATTAGAAAGCATAAAAATCCACCTTGGCAATGAAAGATTGCTTAAATATAAAACAAAAGAAAACCAATCCAAATCAGCTTTTTCTTTGAATAAACTCATTTAATTTAGTCTTAATTTTCTTCTATGTCACATCCACTTCTGAGAATCTAATGGAAATGTGAACATTCTCCTTAGAAAAATATAAACACTCACAAGAGTCTGCATCAGATGCTGGTGTTTGTGTGACTTTCTTGAAATTCATGTCTCCCACTGAACTATACCAAGCAGCATGCGGCCTCCCCTGGTTAACAGCCTGGCAAATGGGGTCACTGTCAGGACTGTATCTGTGACATGCAGAGAGCCTTGTTGGCCACACACCACATTTCCTCTCTGGAAGAGTCGGATAAATATTTCTTCAAGATGAAGACATTGTACAACTGCTGTGTCTATAACTCATCTCTTATCCCAAATATGACTCAAAATCTTTGAGGAGAGTCTTTGAGGGAGCATACTGATGTATCTTAGTGAAAGGCTGTATTGGTTAGCTTTTTGTTGATGTAATAAAACATCCCAATGAAGAGTTACTTTGGGAGGGAAGCATTTGTTTCATCCTATTTGATAGTCTGATATTGACGGAAGCCAGGATAGGAGCTCAAGGAGGACTCTGCGGGTGGGGGGGTGAGGGAGCCACTGCTGAGGAATGCTGCTTACTGGCTTGCTTTCCTCTGTGACTCGCTGACCTTGCATTCTTTCCCCCACCATTTTACATTTTTATTAAAATATCATCACATCATTTCCCCATTCCCTTTCCTTAGTCCAGTTTCCCCCATGTCCCTCAAATTCCTGGCTTCTTTTTCTTTGTCATTATTACATATTTATATACATAAATATTTAAATATAGCCTGCTGAGCCGATTTACCCTTTTAGTCATTTGGAAGTGTGCCTTTCAATCCTGTTGCAGTCACAAAGTTGTGGGGTAAATTCCTAGCATTCCTTTTCCTTGGCAACACCTAGACCATGCACATTGACTGGCACCCTCCCAGTACCCTGTTGTCAGCCCCTGAAGCTACCTTTCTAGTTTCTAGTATGTCAGCTCAATGGAATCATCAGTGTTTTGCTGTTTTGGTTAAAGATTTATTCATTTTTATTTTATGTGTCCAAGTGTTTGTCTACATGTACATCTGTGCATCATGTACATGTCTGGTGCACACAGAGGCCAGAAGAAGGCTTGGTCGCCTGAATTGGAATTAAAGAAAATTGTTTGCCTCCACGTACGTGCTGGGAACCAAACCCAGGTCCTTTGCAAGAATAGCAAGTGCTACTTACCACTGAGCCATCTCTCCAGCCTCAATACGGAACTCCCTCTCTTTTCTTTCCTTCCTTCCTTCCTTCCTTCCTTCCTTCCTTCCTTCCTTCCTTCCTTCCTTCCTTCCTTCTTTCCTCCCTCCCTCCCTCCCTCCCTCTCTTCCTCTCTCCTCCCCTCTCTCTTTCTCTCTCTCTTTCATGACAGGTTTGTGTCACTTAGCACAATGCTTCCAAGGTTTGTTGAGATTGTAGTTTGTGCCAATGTTTCCTTCTAGTTTAAAGACAAACAGCATTTTATAATTTGTGTTAGCACAGCTTATTTACCCACGCATCTGTCCATGGACACTCAGGTGGTGTCCACCGCATGGCTGTTGTGAATAACACTGCTGTGAACAGGATGCACGTGTATCTTATTCAGAGCCTCCTTCCAGCACTAACCACACTACTTCTCAGCACATTTCCAGAAATTCCACTTCTGGGTCACATGATAATTCTGGTGTAAGCTCTGAGGAAGCCGTGGCGGCTGTTCCACTTTCTGTTCCTACTAGCAATGTGCTAGTTTAAGTTTGCTTTGTTGGTTTAGCTTTTTGCTTTGTTTTTAATTTTTGTTGGTGTTTTTAGTTAGTGTCTCACTATGTAGGTCAGGCTGGCTTTGAAGTCATGATCCTCCAGCCTCAGTCACCCAAGTACTGGGATTACAGGTGTGTGCTACCATGTCCTTCTCATGGTCTTTACATTCTTGCCTGTTCATCTGTCTTCAGTTTTTACTTGTTTTTATTAATTGTCAAGCTAATGAATGTGAGGTAGTATGGGCTTAACTTTCATTTTCTTTTCTTTTCTTGGTTGTTCAAGACAGGGTTTCTCTGTGTAGCTTTGCACCTTTCCTGGAACTCACTCTGTAGCCCAGGCTGGCCTCAAACTCACAAAGAGCCGCCTGCCTCTGCCTCCCGAGTGCTGGGATTAAAGGTGTGCGCCACCACCGCCTGGCAACTTTCATTTTTTTAATGAGTAAGGATTTTGAGCATTTGTGTGTGCTTCTTGACCATTTGCATGAAGAAATGTCTATAAAAATTCTCTGTCCATTTTATTTTATTTGTTTCAATGGCTCCTCCTCCTCATCAACCACTTGCATTCTGACACACCCCAGGATCGCCTGTCCTGGAGTGGAACCACCAACTGTGGTCTGGGCCCTCCTACATCAACCACTAATCACAGACACACTCACAGGCCAATTGATGGAGGCAAGTCCTCAACTGGAGTTCTTTCTTCCCAGGTAACCCCAGCTTATGTCAAGATAAAAGTTAAAAGCTAATTGGACTCCCGGAGCTCCACCTGGGGCCTAGCCATGGATCTCTGCATGCAGCTCCCTCAGAGAAAAAGAGGAGGGTTTATATGAGGGAGAATTGTTGAGACCAAGGTTGGATAAAGCACAGGGACAAATAGCCAAATGAATGGAAACACATGAACTATGAACCAATGGCTGAGGGGCCCCCAACTGGATCAGGCCCTCTGAGTGGGTGAGACAGTTGATTGACTTGATCTGTTTGGGAGGCATCCAGGCAGTGGGACCGGGTCCTGTGCTCATTGCATGAGTTGGCTGTTTGAAACCTGGGGCTTATGCAGTGTTTCTTGGCTCAGCCTGGGAGGAGGGGACGGGACCTGCCTGGACTGAGTCTACCAGGTTGATCTCAATCCTCGGGGGAGGCTTTGCCCTGGAGGAGATGGGAATGGGGGATGGACAGGGGGGAAGGGGAGGGGGCTGGGAGGGGGGAGAACAAGGGAATCCGTGGCTGATATGTAGAATTAAATTATATTGTAAAATAAAATTTAAAAAAACCATAAAAAACAACAACAAAAAAGTTAAAAGCTGCTGTGAGTAAGTGCAGGGCCAGTACCATGATAGTATTTAGGGATTTTTGCTCTTTCTCTTCTAATAGTATTTTGATATGTAGCCCAGGCTAGCTTCAAAGTCTGGTTTCTCCTGTGTCTACCTTCCAAGTACTGAGATTAGAGTTGGGTATCACCACATGCTGCTTAGTCAGCCATCCTTAGGAAACCAGGTTTTACACAGAACTTGGCTTCAGAGACAGTGTGAAGTCAGAGTTTGTGGGGGATGTATAAAGTATTTAGAATGATCATTTGATTAGAAAAAACTACAACCCAATACTCAAAAGCATTGATGCACAAGCAGAAAAAATATCATCACAGGCACTCATTTTCTTTACATTTTAATTGTAATTTGGAGGGGGGCAGAATGAAACAGCCACAGTTATTACCACCTCAGGTCACTTACTCAAGTCAGCTTTTCTCAGTCCCCTAAGGAAGTGGCAACTCTTAGTGATTTTGTTAGAGCTTGGGGGGATTTTCAGTGTTTTGATCATGGCAGGAAGCAGGTTTTTAAAGATGTCGAAAATCTGCTGATTTTGATGGGTGATCTTTTGCACCTATATTGAGTGAAAAACAAATATATAAGGGTGTTTCAGCCCTCTGCAGCAAAGAACAACTCCCAAGGGAAGCTATGAAAAGAAGCTAGCTTTCTCATCCTTTGGTAACCACAGTTAAACAATGAACTGACGTATTTCCTGGGTATATAAGAAGATTCAGATAGGAGGAAAACAGTTAAACAAAATCTAGTACTAACAAAGAAATAGTTGTTTACAAGAAGAAATAGACTTTTACAACCTGTCTACAAAATGAAAACTTATCTCAGAAGAGGAAAGATAGAAGAAAACTTAGAAATCACAGTGTTGTCACAAACCTACGGGATGGTGGGTGTGCCAGCCCACAGAAGCACTCCTTGGGGGTTTGCAGAGGAAAATTATTAC